CGTAACTCCCGGCTGTATGTAACACACAATGCGCCTCGCAGAAAATATTTCCTCACAGAGGCGACATGTACACAAATCAAACCATTAGAACATTATTGAAGCGTGTACCACTTAAGGTTCCATTTTCAAAATCTGAAAGAGATCAAAACAGAATAAAGACTGCACTTAAAGAAACACTTGCATTCCTTAACCCAGGCGTAAAAGGGTGTGGCTCTACTTTTACGGGCTCAGTGAAAAAGTCTACACAAAATCTGACCCCAGTCGCGAGCTATGTAAATACAGGTCATTGTCACAACCGGCAGTCAAAGTTATAATAGCCCACACCCTGTCACCCCAGCCATAAAATGCAAGTGGATTCTTTTTTTACCATTGTGTACTGTGAACATGATTTATTATATCCGATGTGGGTGTGATTGTCCTGTTTGAGCTTCCTCCTGGTCGTGAATGGTGATACGTAAACAAAACAGTAGGACAAATCAAGTAAAGGGGCCTAATTTAGATATCGAGCTTGTTCTTTGGGGGGACATCAAAGCGTTAGAAACCAAATATTTGCTTGTAACTTACTTAGTTGGGTTGGTTTTTTGGGGAACTGAATTTGAAAAAGTGCACGACGTTTTCGCTGACTTATCATGATTGATTATTTTTGATGAAAGTGACTTTTCGAACTCATATATGTTGTTTGATTTATTGTTTGTTGTTTTAATCCTTTCATTGGAGGATAGTATTATTTAGTTAGTTTGTTTGTTTGCTTGTTTGGCACGTCGTCAAATAACGGCCATTATTGCTTCGGAAAAGTAAAACAGACAGACATAAACAAAAGAAGGATACCAGTGGTAAAGAAATAATTATATGACTAACCACCCACATAGGCAGATGCGTAGTCTAGCTTTCAAAGTACTTAAATAAATATCGGCAACTCTTGAGTGACACATGGAGACAAATCCACACGCTTCAGAAGAGATGGTTTTATTTTTATGTCTCGTTTCTCTCCTCCTTCCCTTGTCTTACCCCTCAAGAAAAATACTCAGAGGCCCACTTCGCCAAGTTGGCTTTTGAGCACTCCTGTGTTAATTGCTTGTGTAATGTTAATTTACTAGGGTGCAAACTGACATGCAAACATTCAGGCAGACAGCCGGACATTATGTGGACACACAGACAGCTCGTTACCACTGTAAGATCGATTGCTATGTCCATTAAGTTCTCTGTTGTTTGGAATTAAAACGAGTCCGGTTTTTACACAGTAGCCGAAAGTTCCTGATCAGCATGCGGTAGACGTTGTCACAACGAATCCTCATGGCACGCCTTTTTTTTGGAGGGGGGGGGGAGATAAACCCTGCGACTCTGTCACCTAGTGCAAGACACAACATTGAATAATAGACGCCCCCGTTCCAATCAACCAAGAAGATCTCGGCGAGAGTTTGAAAAATGCGCCGAAAACACAAGGGCATAATATCATATGCAGGGAATATCTAATTATAAGCTAACAGTTAGAATAATAATAGTCATTTGTACTCCAGTTTCCACTAAGCTACTTCACCGGATCTGTTTGGCTACTTTGATTCTTTACGATGTGAGGGCGAGCTGATTGCTCAGATGATAATACAGTGGAACCTGATTTAACGGGGACTTCTTTAAGACATCATCCTCCCCAAACAGCCACTTCTCGTCGCCTTGTAAATGTTTAAACATTTTAGTAACACTGTGTAAGACGTCCACCTGTCAAGGACAACAACATTTTCTCCACGGCAGTGAGTGGCCATCAAAGACAATGTGAACTTTATATCATCTTGAGCTATGGTGCGGATGGCGTGGTTTGAATTCTCAACGCTTTGTTCTCAGACTTGGATTGTTTGGGGAGGTCTCCAAACTTCCCAGGTATTTGGACCGTTCCTTTGCCCCGCCTCATAAATTATAACATTTCACTGCTGAAATGGGCGTGTAACTCATACTATATCTATTTCCAAAGTTCAGGCTGAAACATGATTCTTTTTTAAGAAGTAGGGCCTAAACCTACTTTTCAAGTTTATCAACCAGCCATCTTTGTTTTGTGGTACAGAAAAGAACGATCTCATTCCAATCGACAAAGAAGTCAGGCTTTAAACTGTCACATGTTTAAGTACAGCACTTTCCTGGTGCCAAGAGAAGAGCTATTTATTTCCCCTAAAGTGTTCCTCGTTCACTGCCCATCACTCACAAACATAGCAAGAAAATTAAAACCATAAATCTCAGAGAGCTTAGCTCGCGCCAAGGAGTGGCAGACTGACGACTTAGTTCCACGGCCTACTTTTTCCTCTTACTCTTTTAAGAAAACTCGAAATGACATTTTACTCAACGTCATTAAGTTTGTCCATAGACTTGTTTTACAATTTAATTTTCCCAGTCGGTGTACTATGACAATGAGTGGTTAGTGGGTGTTCTGGTGTGGTTTACTCTTTCTTTCTTATCAGACTTCTTTTATCCTTTTCTTTCCTCCTTCTGTTTGTATTTGTTACTCTCTTATAACACATCAAATCTACGGCACTTATGATAATGACCTAATGTGTTGCAAGGGCCACAACATTCCTACTGACATAAAACAAAACAGCACTATTTCCTACTTCAAGGTCGCCTCTCAGCGCACAATTTGAATCTAATTTGGAGCCAAATGAAGAACGAAGAAGGAACGGTTGCGAATTCACTGAACTATAGCGAGACTGGTAATTTGCCCTATATACTTGACACAGAATGATGCCAATTGCTCCTCAGGAATAAAAAGAACATTTGCAACAACTATCTGACGTTTTGAACAAATTAAATAAAATTGCAAAAAATGAAAACCTCTTAATAACGACCAAAATATAACTGTGTTCAGTCCTGTTATTCGGCAATAATATATGATCATTGTCATCCAAGAAAATTGGTATTTATAATTCAACATCAGGGAAATTGAGTCTTCATTATACTCCGGGCATTTCGGCTGTTGCCAAAACATTCAACGACAATTTTGTGTTGAGAGAACCCGAGTAGAGAAATGAGTCCCGAATCTTGAGTGCGATATAAGATAATAGAAAACAAAAGATAAGATACATCTTTATTGCCAAGATCCTGGCACATTGATTTGGTGTTTCGCCACGTACGCACTCACACACACACACACACACACACACACACACACACACACAC